TTAGCCTCTTAACTATTTTTGGCAAAGTAATAGATGCTCTAATCAACTCCGGTTAAACGGTTTACTTAAAACTGTCTTCATCCGGCTAAGCCATTATGGTTTCCGTTTCTCCAGGTCTAATGCCGATCTGTTAACCGTTATAATTGAATTACTCTATCGAACATTAAATATGAACGGCCAAGCTCAGACTGTGGCCCTAGATATCTCAAAGGTGTTTGACAGAGTTTGGCATGCTGGCCTTCTACGCAATCTCAAAGGCTACGGTAACTCTGGATGAATATTTCGCTTAATCCAATAACTTCCCAACAAATCGTGTAATGAAGGTTGTTTTGAATGGACGCGCTTCTAGATCATTTCACATTAATGCAGGGGTCATTCATCGCTCTGTCCTCGGACCTACGCTGTTTCTGATCTTCATCAACGACCTTCTCGATTTGATCAGTTCTCAAATAGATATCTATGCAGATGCAACAACTATTTACTATTGTACTAGTAACAATTCCGACAGATCCGACTGAGTAAAACAAGCAACTGCTCTCGAAAATTAACTCCAGTTAGTGGTTAACCGGGGCAAGTAATGGCTTGTGGATTTTATCGCTTCCATTCTGCTTTCATTTAATCATCACAGAGAACCTTTTCTGACTGTAATCAGCATGGCTGTTGATAACTCCCAAAACAACTGTTTGCACCTTTTTTTTTGCTCAGATTTTCCACTGACATAAATTGGAAGGACTATATTGAATCAATTGCGAGTTCTACTGATAGGAAAGTTGGTTCAATTTATAGTATCAATTTTTTTTTCTCATAAGAGTCCATTTATAAATCCACATTCTTCCGTGCATTGAATGTAGCAATCATATCTGGACTGGTATCCAACTATATATTTCGACATTCTTGATATAATTCAAAGAAGGTTGTGCAATGCAATCGATCCTTCGCTGTTTTTTCTACAAATATTTTCAAGACAACTCTTCTGGTGAGCTGTTCTCCTTAATACGTCGACGAGCATGAATTTAAGCGAACGACTAGATTGGCAACTAGATCTCACCATTTTACCTAGAAACCTGTTTCTTTATTGCCCTTTCTCATTCCTCCTCACTAAAATCTGTTCATTCTCTTTCATTCCCGGTGACTTCTTGCGCCCAAGTGGCGTAATTTTCTTGGAATTAAATGATGAAACACACACACACACACACACACACACACACACACACACACACATATATATATATATATATATATATATGGTATTTAGGTAGCAATCCCTCATTTATACATGTTTCATTTATGATAGACAAGGTACTGCTATTAAGCTTTTATTTAATTTTTTTGTGTTCGAACAAGTGTTTTCTTTTTTGTAATTGCAAGCGCTTTCGGTTATACTTTTAGACATTATCAAGGATGATTTTATTTTTACTTTTTAACTGGATGTATGGTTTGTTTGTATCTATCTAGAGTTTTATTTTCCGAACAGAATCAGCACATTGTGGCCGTGTTCGTTTTATTGAGTGTTGGCTTTTTCTTTTTTTTTTAAGGCTTCCATTATTTTAAATCTTTTTATTTGCTTGTATTCTTTACTAGTATGTTTCGTATGGTGCCTGGTAGGTTTGTGTGTGCGTTTAAATGAGTTCCTAATGGGGCTGTGGTCGGATAGATGCAACGCAAGTCGTCTGGATAGGTATGCAGTAGTGTGACCCACTATCTTAATAGAAAGTTTATTTAACATGAAGGCACAAGACTGTAGGGTGTAGGTGGAGAAAGCCTGGTCGTCAGTGACTATCCTAAACCTAACTCATTTGATTCACGACACATTCATTCTTTTAAATGTCCCATTTACCACAAGAAAGCATCATTCTACACACAATTGTCATTTACCAAAATGCCACATATTAGCAGGGAAACTACAAAAAACAAAAACTAAAAAAAAACAAACAAAAACAAACATGGTATAAAAATTTCAATATGTGCAATTTTCTCTTTTTTTAATAGAAGGGATCGAAATATGAATAAAATTCAGTCTAGGCGCCTAAAATATCGTTCCTATTATAATTACATGCATTTTCGGCCGTTAATTTGATCAGGACCGCGGTTGAGCCGGGGTCCGTCGCCAGGGACGCAAAAATAAAAAAAAATAGTTAAATATTTTTCTCTTGCTGATAGATTTTTTTTTACTCCTGTGGCAGTGGAGACTTCTGGGGTTATTGGTCTTCGATCGATGGCGTTCCTTCGGAGGATTGGCGAGATTGCGTCTCGATTAAGGGACGAGCCTCGTGAAACGGAGTGGCTCTTGCAGCGTGTCTCGCGATGGTTCAAGGTAATGCTTTCTCCATCATTGCGGCTGGCAGGGGGTAGAAAAAATGTTTATAGTTAGTTTGTTCATTTTTTTTTTCAATAAATAAATTTCGATGTGAATTATCATTGATATGATGACGTCATAATCCTCTTTCTGAACTGAAAAATCGGTTACATCATTTTGAAATTTTTTTTTTTTTGTGCGCAGTACGATTTCGGAGAGGATTGAGTGCAAAGGAGTTTCAGTTTTATCTGTAAGAACGAAATCCCCATCCGATTATGACGTCAGTACTAAGAATGGTTTTATAGCGTTGTCCTCACGAGAAGCAAGCTTTAAATGACTACATCCTGGAGCATTTTTCTCAAACGTTAATATCGTTGTAGCACTTCGAGAGATCTAACAGCAATGCAGTAAGACGAAAGGAAATTATGACTAGAGTCTGTCACGGAAGGATTATTTTTACAGATAAAATCAAATACATATCGTGTTAACGCTTAACATTGCATTAAACAACAAAAGAGAGGTTTTTTTTTCACAAAAATATACTGTTGCTGTGATACTGTTAAGCAAGAACGAACCTGGTTAAATGGGTGACCGCTTGGGAATAGCAGATATTGTAAACTTGGATGTGCGGTTGGTGTAATAATGGCTAGACATTGTTAATCTGAGAACCAAGTTTCAATTCCTGTCTTTTTAGTTATATTCATTTACGTGCAGCTACCCTTGAGAAAGGTATGAATACACCTCATCTCCCCTCAGCTATGGGTTAAGTAACTATAAACTTGTATCACTAAATCCTTTATAATTAAAAAAAATCTTACAATTAAAAAATATTTTCTGGCTTTGAACAGGCCGTAGAAAACGAATCAATCACTCAGATACAAAGGAAATTAAGAAAAATATATAGGAATAACAGAAAGCCCCTGGAAACTACTCACGCAATATATCATTTGACAACAAATATATGCAAATTGCACAAACCTATCAAAATATATATGAGATTGCAAAAACAGAACATATTACGTAGGTAAAAATAATATGAAAGCTAAAAGAAAAAAAAACCGCACTGATTGTAATCATCAAAAGAGGTAACGTTTGTCAAGGGGAGAAAAAGAAACATCATGGATCTACTTACCCGCAAAGAAACTGTTTTTTTAAAAAGAATGGTGATGGCGCTTTTTTTTAAAAAAACTACCTTCACTCTTCTTTATTGCTTCAAAAAGCGATTATTAGAATTGGAATAAAACCTAAACATGATGAAAGTGAATTCATAAATATTTTATGTTCTCGAGAATATACAAGAAAATATTTAACACTATTTACTTATTAGATTGTTTATTTATAATTTTATATTTACAATATTCTAAAAACTAATACAATGCAATATTTATCATTTCCCAATTTATAAAGAAATAAATATGAACATTTTTAATTCACAAATTTATAAACATCTACTAAATTTTTAAAATATATGAACCAACTATAAGTAAAATCTTTATTTACCTTTTTATAAATTTCGAATCAATTGACAATAAAGTAAATATAAACAATTTGTTTCTATCCTCTGCCAGTCGCAATGATGGAGAAAGCATTACCGCGAACTATCGCCAGTGAGACACGCTCTGCAAGAGCCACTCCGTTTCGCGAGGCTCGTCCCTTAATCGAGACGCAATCGCGCCAATCATCCGAAGGAACCCCATCGAACCGCCGAAGTCTCCACTGGCACAGGAGTAAAAAAAAAAAAATCTATAAGCAAGAGAATATTTAACTATATTTTTCATCTCTGCGTCTTGGGCGACGGACCCCGGCTCGACCGCGGACCTGATCAAATTACCGGACAAAAATGTATCCGCACAGGTCGCATCTCAAATCAACGACTTCCCCATTTTAAAAAAGAAAATCGTAATCCCATCCGACCGCTTTCCATCACCACGGTTGACAATTGGCAATTACCTAATGATTTGCCAACCATTCCAAAACCAATGTCATCAATAAATAGTGTAAACAAATAATCAAATATATAATTAGTGTCTGGTATTTTTCGTTAATTCTTAAAAATAAAACAATTTATAAATTCATTTTCATATGTTTAGGTTTTATTATAATTCTATAATTATAATCATTGTATTTGAAAATAATAAATATTACTGAATAAATATTAAATAAATATTATATTAATATTAAATAAATATTAAATAAATATTAAATAATGATTGCTGAATAAATCTAATAGCGGTGTCAATTGAAAAACCGACCTTTTGACACTCGATTTATTTGCAGGCACCGAAGATTTAAAAAAATCAATTTTACAAAAAAAAAATGAAAACTTCTAAAAAAGGTTTGATTTCATTTCAAACGTTGACATAAATCTGGTTTCTACAATGCCAACATGAATTAAAAACATAAATAACATCTCTTGAACTAAATAAAGACGATTTCAAATACTAAGACTTAACACTGAAAATGGCTACAAAGATTAAACAAATAAAATGGAAGGAATTAAAAAAAAATGTATTTAATAACATAGAAAAATCACGAATAAAAAAAAAAGAATTAATATCTGCAAACTAGACACTAGTACACTAAATAACGTAAAATTTATAAATAGAGAAAGAATTATGCATGCACACATCAGGAAAGGAATGATTTCTCTTTCGTAGTTTTATGAATTGCGATAACATTGCCATCCATTAAATTTATGGAAATGATGATTTTTTTCCTTCAACAAGATGGCGCACCACTACAGTACCAGCAAGATGTGCGAACTTCTCTGAATATAAATTTGCAAGGACACTGGCTAGGACAAAGAGGTTCAGGGAGTTTCTCCCACTTTCTCTTGTTTTTATCTATGAGGAATCTAAAGGATGCTGAGTATCGTAGAAAACTGTTGGTGACACTTTGAAAATACGAGATTGAAAATACATGTGCCGTAATCCCACTAGACACTTTGGCCAACGTTGCCAATGTTTGCCGTACTAATAAATGTTTGGATGCTAAAGCTCGTCATTTTGAGTATCATCTTGTGATTGTAGAGTCGAAAGGTGACTTGGATTATTATCACGATGCCCTGAATAAATTTAGTATTACAATATGTATAAAAGTTTTTCCTTTCCTGGCGTGAATATATACTTTTTGGCGGACACTGTATATAATCAAGTATCTGATATGAAGTATCACGAATAGTACTATAAAAAAAAAAAAAAAAAAAACTAGAACACATGGACACCGCGACGTAATGTAATGGTTAACAAGTTTGTCTTTTTAGCTCAGTTACGACTGATTAGTAAGTTTGAGCCTCCCTGGTTGTCCCATACTTTAGGCCTTGGGTCAAATCAGTATACGAGATCTGATCAAAAAGTATCGGGACTACAACACATATCAAGTCAGCATGGGTACTTTGACATAGTGTAACGGTTAACAGGATTGTCTCCCTAGATATATTGCAACTGAATAGTAAATTCGATCATCACTGGTGCCCTAAACTTTCGGCCTTATGCCATATCTAAGCTGTATTTAGAAAATCGTCATACCAATTCAGCATTTAATGTCTATCGAAGCTACGCAATTTATCCAGCGTCGTTTCCATTGATGGAAGCATTCCTGGAACTCCCTTTTTGGGTGACAGCCAACAGATGCTTTGTCGTATTCTTTCGGATTTAATTTCTGAAAAAGTCGAAAGGGCGAGTGTGTGCGTGTGTGTGCGCGTAAAAGTTCAGATAAGAATAAAAATATATATATAAACAGACTGTATGAATAAATTTATTCATATATATATATATATATATATATATATATATATATATATATATATATATATATATATATATATATAAATTATTGCTTTGCCCACAGTGTCTTTCATTTGAGAGATAAGAAAATAGATATTAATTTGTTTCTCAGATTAAATCTTTTGAAAACTGGTTGGGACTAAGGTCTTATCTGAATACACCGTACACACACAGAGACGCACAAACGCATATATATATATATATATATATATATATATATATATATATATATATATAAAAGAAAAAAAAAATAATTTAACTTACTATTTCCTTTCAAAACTATAACATTCTCTAATAACGTAAGCAAAAATTTTTATAACCAAACTTGTATAAATGAAAAATTCCTGCCTAGACACACAAAATTAAATGTACCTGGCCAAACAACTGCAAAAGAAAAATGAGGAAAAAAACTTATTGGAAAACAGATTATAATAAGAAAAAGAAGAACTCAATGAACTCTTAATCGAAGAGACTGATCAAAATAAAAACTAAAAAACTAAAATGGATGCAAAACACAATGCAACAAAATTCAAAACAGACATGAACATTTTAAAAACGTGAAACTCATACATAAATAAAAAAGCTTTAGAAAATACTGAACAATACATATATTCTTATATATATATATATATATATATATATATACTCATGTACTCATATGTATCTGTCCGCCTTTGTGCTTGATTGTTTTATCTATATCTATATTTAAGGCGTTTGGTATTGAAGAACAATCGGAGGACTCAACACTGACCTACATCCGACAGCAAAGCCTTTGATCAGGATGTTTTGATGAGCGTGGAACCACCTCTTAATTGATGTTGTTCCAAGGTCAAACTTAGGGCCCCAGCTATAGGCAAATAAAGAACCCCCACACTGGGGTAAAAAATTGAATGTATAAAAATACATTTTCATAGTAAAAAAAAAAATACAAGCATCAGATATTGTAAAAGAAAAAAATACCGGCAATACTTTTTCTTAAAAGAAACAACTGCTCAAGTTCTCAAGAAATGACCCATAAGGTGTTGATATGCCGTTAAACTAACTCTAACTTGCGTTATTAAAAATATACCTGTGCATGATGTTTTTTTAAGTCTACTCCGTCGACATCATTACATGCTGTAAAGCTGCAGGTGGTTCACTTTTTTCAAGTTGTATAATTAACGAAAGGCATGGGACCCAACTTACCCAGTATGCTTACTGCACGCATTGGCACCGACACGTGTGTGGGGAAATATCTTTTCAACACAACCACTGTGTGGTAGAATGAGATATTCTGCAATGATAAAAAGCGGTTTTGTATTTGGTAAACGAAAGACAACGAATTATTTTAGTTTAAGTGAAAAATAAATTTCGGTGTTACAATTTCTCGTTCTCTATTGAAGCTTTTATCTTTGAACTTGCTTGATATTGGTTTCTCCGTCTTTTGGTTCGCATTTTGGAATGTTACTCTTTTTGGCGATCAAAAATTGTCTCATTGAAATTGTCTTTTCTTCTCGCTTTCTTTTACTACCTTTTGTAGGCGTCACTTCAGTTTTCCTTTCTGTGTCTGATAACAACTGTCATCTGCATATTTTATTCGGTGAAGGTTGTGTCTGTCAGTAATAGATCCTGATAGGACTTCTAGTTCTTTCGTGATCGCCTCACGGTAAAGGTTGAATAAGTCCGGTGAGAAGACACATCCTTGTCTTAAACCCCTTGCAGTTTTTGTGTGTTTACTGAATTCCATTTCTATGCTTATACAGGAATTTGCTTTCAGTATAGGCTCTGGAGTATTATAATATTTTTTGCAATAAATCAAGTTTACCAATCAGTTTAAAGTGCTTGTGTCGTGTTTTGAGAAACGTTTTTGCAAAATCTATAAAACGTAGGTATAGATCTTTTTACATTTGTATTGGACTTTCTGGTATACTTGAGGGTATAAAAATTACATTCCTTGTTCTTGTTCTTCAGGAAAACCCGTACTGTTCTTGTCCTATTTCCATTCTCATTCTGTTCCGTGCTCTATTTATCAGAATTCGGAGTATAAGATAGTTATCATGGCCGTTCAATGAAGAACGCATTTGTTTACTTCTTTGTACAATTTTCATTATATATTTATATTTAAAAGGTGGATATAACCTGTAAGTTTCATCTTAGAATATCTTTCGGTCAGAATTTCTGAGACTAAGGATAATCATTATTACAATCGGACTATTATCCTCATCTTTTTTATGACGTTGCAGCTGTTATACCCTCCAGACTTCTTCGTCTGTCGTCCCGGAAATGTTTTACTTGAACACTTTATTTAATCTACGACAATGTTCTATTGAATGTTCTCGTGCCGTTGTCTATCTTTAAGAATATTTCGTTTTGGTCTCTCTTTTTTTTAGTACTGTTCCTTTATTGTTAGTCTGTTTTCCACTAAGTCTGTATCTGTAGTAACACGGACCAAGGATTGAAGTAAAGGTTATTCGGTACGATCACCGATGTTAAGTAATGCCGAGCCTGGTCAGGACCTAGATGGGTGAACACTTGGCAATAACAAGTACTGTAATTGTGGATGTGTGTGTGGTGTAATGAATAACGGATCAGAATTGTTAATCCAATTTCTTGTTCTAGTTGGACTCGTCATATTCCCTTACGCGCACATAACCTTGAGAAACGTAGGAATCCAGCTCATCTCTCTCCAGCAATACGTTAATTAGTAAGACTTATATCACTAAATTATAATTAAAGAACACACCTATAAAAACTTTATTATAACCAAAGGTAAGAAAACAAAATAAAAATCAAGCAATTATTACAATTGAGCAAAACAGTGCGGTTACCATTAAAATTTTATTCATCTTCAAATCCATAAAATTCGTCGTCTTCATTATCAAAACTCTGATACCCATTTTCAATACTACTATCATCGTCGTTAAATAATGCATCATCTAATTTCGGCTGACTATCGTGAATTTTAAACCTATATATGGCATATAAGATGCAAGGGAATTTTAAAAGTTATTTTTAGTTAAAAAATGCGCCTTTTATGCCGTCAAATACGGTAATTGAAGCGATACAATCGTGGGGAAATATAGAGCTTATATCTTGCAAAAGAAAAAGATATTTCCGATTCTGTACAGATGGAAGCATGGTTCAGAATCACTAAGTGGTTCTTAATTCCATTTTGTAAGAGATGATTGAGCAGCGGAATATTTTTGGTCCAACTTATGAAAAAAAAAAAAATAAAAAAATAAAATGAAACCAAATTAATGAATTTATTAAGTTACGAGATAAATTCTAGCCCATCATTAAAAGAATTGAAAGAGAATTTGTAGGCCATCATTTAAAGAATTGAAAGAGAATTTGTAGGCTATCATTAAAAGAATTGAAAGAGAAATTCTAGCTCATCGTTAAAAGAATTGAAAAAGAATTTGTCGCTTATCGTTAAAAGAATTGAAAGAGAATTTGTAGCCCATCATTAAATGAATTGAATTAATAAAAACAATTTCAGCAGACCAAGATATCAAGATAGCAACAAAATAAGAAAACCAAGATTTGAAAAAAACTCGTCAAGCTTATAGAATAGCAATGAATCCTTTGCTAACATGTGAAATAATAAAATAGAAATTTATTCCGATATGCGTTAATCAAATATTTCTGCGGTCTTTATCGTTTGGACTTATTTATGACTAAAAAATCATGGCGTTCTTTCCACAATAAAAACTGATACCGAATCCCCAAAAAGGTAATTACCAATATCTAATTAGAATTACTCGGGAAAATGTTAAGGTTTTACTATTTGAATTTTCTGATGAATCTTAATTCTTAAATTAATTGTTAAATAAAACTTAATTCTACGACAATAAAACATTCTTAGAATTTCCCCTATCGCCTCGTTGATTATTTGAACAACTTTAACAAAATATTGCAATGATGGTCATAAATATGAATTCTGGTCGTTATTTTAAGAAATAAGGAGGTACAAATAAAAAGATTTGGAATTGACAACTGTTTCCATTTCACTGAAAGAGACATTAAACACTTTTATAATCTATTTTGTTTTCTTTCATTGAAACCAAATAGTACATTTGACGTGTCTTTTTAGACATCAAAACGGAATAGTCTATTATTTATGAAGCATTGGCAGGAGACGTTAAACAATTCTTCTTTTTGTTTCTTTCATTCTAAAATCATACAGGATTCAACGACGACAGTTGCTCTTTACGTTCCTCCAAGCAAAAGCGTCTTGACAAAAGGAAGAAAATGTCGAAGAAGCAGCGTACCGCAGACAAAGTTTTTCCTTTGGTCGGACGAGACATTTGTCAGTTTGGAGGCTCTGGCCAACTACCAAAACGACAGAGTTTACGTAACTTCACTAGGAAACATCTCCGAAGCGACAGAAAGCAATTGGTGTCATGTTTTAGGCTGCTGTGGACCCTGTTGGTTCGACCTCACCCCAGTTTGAAAAATTTGTGAAAGTAAACAGCAGGGTCTACCAGCAAATGTAATTCCCTTGTTGCCATCGACATCTGGAAGCCGCTATTGTCTTCACTCAAGAGTGAACTCTCACACACTCTCAAGACGGATCTCTACCACACACACAGCAAATTTGATGTAGAGATGCTGTAAGAGATATTTCCGTGGATTTTTGACAAACCAATATGGCCTCCACCAAGGCCGAACATTAATTCTATGGACTTTGCGATATGACTCACATCGGATAGTGATGTTTTATGTATCTTATACTCAAGACAGTAAGACCCGAAAAAAGCTTTTAGGATGTGGTACAATTTGATCATGCACCCTAGTAGAGAAGGGATTATGAGATATGGTAAAAGGAAAGGGTGACTATTTTAAATTGTAAATATATGCACAATATAACCATTTATAAAGGTAAATTACAATAGGAAAACTGTATTATTGGCCGACGCGTTTCTTCCAATAATATTGGTGTAACTTTAATTGATGGTTAGTGTTCTAGGGTTCAGCAAGTGGATGAGAGAACGTGGTTTCTGGGAGGTGGCACAGGGACAAAACTTATTAACACCTACAAGGGATAAGGAGAAGTGGAAAGGCATGATCACCTACGTTCAGAAGTGACAAGGCATATAAAAAGAAATAATGTAATTGTTTATGACAAGGACTTTAACAACATGATGAATTGATAAAAATGAATAGTCAATTGTATTCCGTTCGTTTAATGTTATCAATCATTTAGTTTTGTCTAAAAGATCCAGTATGTTGACCAGAATATACGGATTCCTCTTCAATGTATTTATTGATTCCCCACCTCACACGCTTAAATACAAACCCACAAACCTAAAATTTAATTATCTTTGTTTATTTCTGTAGAGTTTTAGCCCAGGAATAAAGAATTTCGTGTCTGCGTTTTATTACAGAGAAAAAAGCATTGCTCTTCGTGAAGTAATAAAATTTGCAGGAGGTAATCCGTTGATGATTTTAAGAGCATGGCTTCCTGTTGAGTTTAGAAGTTAAATGCGAAATCAATAAAGATTTCTACTTAGGCGAAACTCTTTAATAATGTGGCATAGAAAAACTAAAAATGACTATAAGAGAAGAACACAATAAAAAAGGATGGAAAGAAGAAGGCATTAAAAAAAAATTGTAAAATATTCAATTGAAAATGCAGTTAATTAAAACAAAATGCAGTATATATTAGAAAACAGAATAATTATAAAAGAAAGAGAGAAATTTTGGAAAAAAGATGAAAGGATATAAATGAAACTTATGCAACTGGACGTTGATTAAATACAATTTATATGGAGCAAGCTTTTTAGCTTTATTATTTGTATCATCATTCTGGTAATAAGAAAGATCAGCCAAAACATAGATCTATCTATCTATCTATCTATCTATCTATCTATCTATCTATCTATCTCTTCCTGTTATATATATACCTATCTATCTATCTATCTATCTATCTATATATCTATCTATCTATCGAATGATGCTAAAAATCACAGCAACAGTAATAACAATAATAATTATAATACAACTACAAATACGTCAAAATTATGAAAATTTAACACGCTTCAGATTGCAGAACTTCGGATAAAAATCGGCTATTTGATAACTAGAAGCATAATATCCAAGTGATCTACAAAATTTCGACTTTGAAAGATCGGATTAATCGTTTCAATCAGTAGAAATATGATGTCTACTGACAATTTCGATAAATTTATTCAAAGTCTGGCGGTGACGAACATTTTGACGCGAAACTCTTAAGTCAGAAAATCAGATAAATCATTTGGATTTTTGTTGACTCTCTCTCTCCACACACACAGGCGCGTGCGCGCGCACACACACAAATATATATATCTATATCTATCTATAAAAGGCAGTGTGTGTGTGTGTGTGTGTGTGTGTGTGTGTGTGTGTAACGAATGCACGGCCACAATTTTCGACGGATTTGAACAAAAATATACATGCATATGCTCCAAGTTAGCGGAAAGGCCATGAATGACTTTGCATTTCCCAACTCCCATCGATAGTGGAAATAATTGATTTTTTCATGCTTCTATGGCAGTTTTCATGTAGTTTGCGGCCATTTTCTACTGGCCAGAGTGAGAGTCTATAGCTAGCTGCCACGAATAGTCAGGAAGATTCTATTGGCCAGCGTGAGAGCTAACAGCTGACTGACACGAATGTTAACTAGCATGCAAAAAGAATCAATAGCTGCAATCATCAAAAAATTAAATCTGCATGGCACTTTACTCCAATTGGCTCATTCGCTTGCTTAAACTCAACGTTGATTCTGATTCCGCAAAACTGGGTTAGGTGTGAAAAAGTATTTGTTGTTAACATTCTTTTTTCATTCGGTTTTTCCAGTTACGAGTCCTTTTTTAAAGCTGATCGCTTTTTTTTATTTTGTTTAGTTCTTTTTCCGTAACAGATTTAATGTTTAGTATAGAGCTTAGAAAAAATTCGCAGTGTGAGATAGGCAAGAAGTAAGGAATGTAGCAACATCAGCACGGCAAAGAGCACTCCTTTAAAGGTAAGGAAGGGCAAAAATATTTTAAGTGAAGTGATAGCGAAGTGATAGCGGGCCATGCTGCTAGTATATATATATATATATATATATATATATATATATGAATTGGGGAATTGAATATTGACCGGAAACCGACAGGATGATAGGAAAAAGAACAAATTGGAAACATGTTTTGTTTTTATTCAAGTTTTATCAGAGAATGAGATATGGGAAAAAAAATTCTGGTATTCAATTTTGGTGTTTTTCGATTTTTTTTCATTGGTAAAGCAGACCACATGCATTTGATTATTCAAGCAGCATTCTTGTGTATAATTTACGTGTGTAAGTGTATCGTAATTCTAGTGTGTCTAGTAGGCATTATTTACGTTTGGAGGTTGCCCGCACGTTTCAATTTTGCTTCATAGTGATGAAAGAGGGCTTAGAAAATATGATACTCACAGCACTAATTGAAAGGGCGGAGGAAAGAAATGCTCAATCTACCTGACGATCTGAAGCAAATAGATAGGTGAGCAGGGTTTGACAGAGATGACAAAAAAGACATAAGTCATACAGAGCTACAAAAGTTATGAAATTGTGGAGAGCCATGAACGTCAATATTCTCAAGGGACACGGCACAGAAAAGAAAAATATTTGATACTCTGAGTTATTGGTTTAGAGATTTTTGAAACGTTTTCAAAATAGTAAAGAATGTCTCCTAGGGATTTATTAAGTGATAAGTACTGGCGGAATTATATTTACACTAGAAGGTTTTCGCAATAGGTTGACGAGTATTGAGATCCTCACAATATTTAGTATTGTTGAAGATATTGTTAATATTTTTGTCAAAATTTCTAAACTCTAAGTTTAGTTCAATTTCGCAAAGCAACCGATGAAATTTGAATAAGTAGATTTGTTTAAAAAATACTCTGGCGAAAATCCTACTTCGCAGTTTAATAATTTCTTTAATTTAATTTAATTTTACGGCACCACATGTTAAACAATATTTTAAAGTAAATTTCGTTTTTTTTCCTTTTTCCTTTTTAGCACTGAATTATAAATTCTTTGGATTTCTTACTCTTGTGAATGCAACATGCATAAATGTTTTTTTTTTTTTTTCTGGGGCCAAATTCCAACTTTTTGAAGCGTTTTGCCTTGTCATATGTTTATAGTTCTCATAAACGGAGATCGAACTGAATAGTGTCTTCTTTTATATATAAACACTTAAAGAAAGATGTGTAAAAAAAAAAAGAAGAAATATTGCATTTTTATTAAATACGTATTTATTTTAATTTTTTAATTTTAATTTTTCCTAAAATATTAATGAACATTTATTGTACTGAGCTGGAAAAGGTATGAACGCAACTCTTCTCCCCCATCTATGGATTAATTAGTAAGACTTGTATCACTAAACCATTTTTAACGCTCTAAATTTCCGTTGGGTTCGTCATATTCCCTTACGCGCAAATACCGTTGGAAAAGGTAAGGATTCACCTGTTCTCTCCCGGCTATGGATTAATTAGTAAAACTTGTAACAATAAACCATTATTAACTTAATCGCCCGGAATTCCCACAGGGTTCCTTAAATTTACTTACGCGCAAATGCCGTTGGAAAAGATCTGGATTATTATCTCCAAAAATTCATACACTGTTACATGCAATGAGTTGATGAGCCGTAGAAAACAAACCAACCAATCAAAATATTATTTTTCTCAATGCTATTTTTGTTCATCGACGACCTGATTGGTGGAAATATTGTTAAGTGTTTTGTTGCAGATGTCCTAATTCATTACAAAAGAAGAAATTATTGTAACATGGTTAATAACCTGTTTTTGTTGTTGCTTTTATTTACGTTATTTTATATCAGTGAGGAAATTTCCGTTTCTCATTGAGAAAACACGAGATTTTGCTTGCGGTAAATAGTAAAGTTAGGACAGTTGGTATCTACTAAAATTTCGAATTTAAGTATTTTAAATAATGTGTCGGACAGCATTACTTGGGAAGTTTTCTTTAAGTTCTAAGTTTTTTCCATAGCAATCAGACATATGTGGTAGAATTGGCGAAATTATGAAGTAGTTAATTTTTGTCTATGTGTTATAGATAATGTTGGCCCGAGAGTCAAACTCATAGCTATGCCGTCAGTCTGTGTGTAAATGTTAAATGGTAAATGTTTCCATAATGATCATAAATTGGTACTTGATTCGTGCAAAATAGACAAAATTTTACGTTTTAATTTTAGGTCTAATATTAGGGAGTCAGGGGAAACGATTCTTACATATGCTTTGTATTACTTTATTTATAATTTCGTTTGGAATAATGGATAGCTGCTCGGATTGAGGAACCGGAGAGCCGATTTCGAATTCCAGTCGAATCCATTATATTCACTTACGTGTTAATACCCTTGGGAAATGTATAAATCTTCTTCTTCTCCCCCTCCTCTAGCTATGGCTAAATATCAGGACGGACCGGGTTTGGCAACTGGATAGCAACTGGTCTACAGCAGAAAGAAATTGCAACCTACTGCGGGAAAAAAAAAAATCTGCCTCGTCAGTCATGTATCGAAAGATACATGATCGCCTAAGTGTTTATCACTCATGGCACAAAACTGACTGTAATTTCATTTACAGGGAAATTTGGAAACAGGCTTCAAACATCCAACGAGAGTAGGATATTATTTGGTTTATGTGGGTGTCGTATTTGTAGAACTTAGTTTGGTGGAATTAATGCTATATTTATTGGATACTAGAAACATGGCCCGGCGTTGCCCGTGTTTGATTCAAAAATCGTACGACTCATACAACAATCGCTATCACTTGACTTAAAATATTTTTGCCCTTCCTTGCCTTTAAAGGAATGTCTTTTGCCGTGCTGACGTTGCTACATGCCTTACTTCTTGCCTCACACAGTGAATTTTTTCTAAGCTAATCTGTTACGAAAAAAGAACTAAACAAAATGAACAAAAAACGATCAGCTTTAAAGGACTCGTAACTGGAAAAACCGAATGAAAAAAGAATGTTAACAACAAAAACTTTTCACATCCAACCCAGTTCTGCGGAATCAGAATCAACGTTGAGTTTAAGCAAGCGAATGAGCCAATTGGAGTAAAGTGCCACGCAAATTTAAATTTTTCCCACTTGTGACGAATGCAGCTATCGATTTTTTTGCATGCTAGCATGCTAGTTAACATTCGTGTTAGTCAGCTGTTGGCTCTCACGCTGGCCAATAGAATCTTTCTGCCTATTCGTGGCAGCCAGATATAGGCTCTCACTCTGGCCAGTAGAAAATGGCCGCAAACTACATGAAAACTGCCGTAGAAGCATGAAAAAATCGATTATTTCCACTATTGATGGGAGTTGTGAAATGCAATGTCGATCTTAGCCTTGCCGCTAACTTGGAACATGTGCATGTAAATTTTGGTGCAAATCCGTCGAAAATTGCGACCGTGTATTCGTTACACACACGCACACAGAGACACACATACATACACACACACATCCTGCCTTTTATAGATAGAGATGAATATGTTTAGAATTTTGGATAATTGTTAATTAGAACTGTAAGTATTTGTGAAATTATGAAAGGTATTAATGAGCTAGTGTGCAATCTGACGTTCCAGTATAGATAATAGAGGCGGGGGAGTTTCTAATACGTACCCAGAATTGTGTGTCCTTTGATGGATCTGATTGCAGATTTATTAGCTGTGATAAATTTATCTATGTCTGGAGTAAACTAGAGGTAGTTTTTCAATGATTTATAAACAGTTAGAACCAAAGAATTGCATCTTAACTGCTAAATAAAAAGCGTTTTGTTTGTTCATTTCATTAATACAATAAAAATTTTATTCTCTAAATGTCTTGCCAGCAACTTTCCTGCTTCATTCAAAGATGAAACTAAGAAATATTTTCCCTGTGATAGCAACAACTTTGTTATTAATAATGACGTCCTGAAATACTCGGACAGAAACAAAAGAAAAATATGAAATCTGAAGATATTATTCACAAGTTTTATACGGATATGCAATATCGGGAAATTGGAAATTTTTTCTTTCTTTCTTTCTTTCTTTCTTTCTTTCTTTCTTTCTTTCTTTCTTTCTTATTATGCATATTTTGTTTTTCCCATTAAAACCAAACAGTGTATATGACATATCTCAATTTAAACGGACCAATCTGTTATTGATCTGATTTACTGAATTCATATGGAATACCTATCCTTTTATATGGCAGTTAATACAGGTCAATTTCACCACAGATGGAGGAGAAACTTGAGACAACAGAAATGTGGTCCTACAGAAGGATACTGAGAATACCATGGGCAGAACAAGTGAACAACGACAATGTTTTAGAGAAAATGGAAGCAAAAAAACAAACAAAAATAAAACACTCATACATAAAATGGTAAAAAGACAGTAGAATTTTCTATAGTGAAGAAATAGGAAAGAGGGCGAGGAAAATTTAACACTCACAAGAAATGTTGCCGATAAGAGGGACATTGGAAAGCAGAAAGTGCTTGTGTAAATAGTTTGCAGAACAAGAATTAAAAGTGATAGTATAAAGACTGAGACGAAGAAGAAGAAGAAGAATGGCAAGGCGTATAATGCGTGTTAAATTACTTACTCACGGAGCACCAAGTAGAATATGATATATGCGTAATTGTGGGTAATTTCTAAAAAATTAATGAATTTATTTTTAATCCGAAATTTTTATAACTTCAAACGTTATTACAGTGGATATCCTTATTTGAATTTTAAACTTTTGTTTTCGATTCCTGTCGAAGAGAATATATTTTATATTATGATTTCTCGAATACGCAGCCTTAAGATGGATTACACACTGTTTAAAAGTTAGCTTCCTTATGCCTTTTCTATAAATATTCCCATAATAATTGTTCTGATTAACGTTCATCTCTGATACGTAGTCGTTACGTATTTAAGCGCAGTACTATATTGGCCGCAAGGTCTCATTATTTTACAGTCGAAATGGCTAGATATAACCGTAAGTTCTATGCTAACAATGTCTTCTCTCGCACTTCTCACTTATGGAACACTCTTCCGGCTCCATGCTTTTCAGCTAACTTTGATCTGCAAAAAATTAAATGTAATGTCAACCGTTATCTACTGTCTTAGTGATTAGTCTTTTTCTATTTTTCGCGCGTCTTAAGAATGATTCTTTTTTTAATTCTTTCACATCGCAGTAACACCTTGTGTTTTAGTGGCTTCCTTGGGCTGAAATTATATATAAAAAAAGAACGAAAAACAAAACAAAAATCAAAATGCAAATATTGCATTTTGATATTTTTTTTATTGATTGACTTGTTATTTTATGGCTTATCAACCTTTTGTCGGTTATTTAAAGCCGAAACAGATTTGTGATTGGAATAAGATTAATAATAATAATAATAATAATAATAATAATAATAATAATAATAATAATGATATTGCGCAGTACTAGATTGGCGGCAAGGTCTCATCATTTTACAGTTGAAACGGCGAGATATAACCATAAGTTCTATGCTAACACTTTCTTCTACCGCACTTCTCGCTTGTGGAACTTCCTTCCGGCTCCTTACTTTCTCGGTCAACTTTGATCTTCAAAAAGGTAAATGTAATGCTAATCGTTATCTTTTGTCTTCTTAATTATTGTTTTTTTTATTGTTCTCTCTCTTTCTCGTATTCTGTCACACTCACTAAACCTTTGCGTCTTAGTAGCTTTATTGCCTTGCTCGGTGTGAAGTGTTTTAAAAAAAATACAACTAAAAATGAAATATCTGTTTCAAATTCCGGTATCTACAATAATAACGTTTGAAGTACTTGTGTGAGTATGTTCGTATGCATGTGTGTGTAGTTACGCGTACGCCATATTTATCTTTCAATTGAAATAAAAAGAAATCGATGTAATCAACAGAGATCAATCCAACCTGGAAGACATATCATTTAATTGTTGCTTGGCTAATTACTTTTGTAATTACTGTGAATAACCATTTTTAGAAATTAATCATTTTGTCCTGTTTTTTTTTGTTTGTTTTTTTTTTGTTTTTTTTTTCTCGATGGTGCAGCGCATTTTTCAAAGTGCAACTATCAGCTTCATTCGTCAATTATATTTCTCATCTCTTTCTGGGTTTGTTTTTTCTTATGGGTTAAATTTCTGTTGCTTTTATGCTTTCTTCTTTTTCTTTATGCAATTCGTCACGTGCTGCATTAAGTTGTATCACGTGATTTTTTTAAAACTCTCTTTTGATATATTCTTTGGTTTGTTTTAGTCAATGTTGTCTTGTTTTCTTACATTATTTGATACTATTTACTATTATCCTTCTAAATTTCAGATGTTATCTGACTGGAGGATCGATCCCAGCGTGAAGCACCTTTGGAAAGTACCTGAAAACCATACCTTGTGTTGCCCCAAGACTTGTGAGTGAAATTGGGTAAACTCTTGGTGGTCTTCGATATCTGTACTAGCAGGAAGTCACAAGTCATCATGGCCGAGGCCTTGAGAGTGCTGGCCTTGTTCCAATTGTTGACCACGCTAGATAACTCGCTCTTTCACAGAAACTGTAACTAAGGTCTGCTTAACATAGTTGAAGTATAAACCACAGCTGAGCTCTGTGGGTGTTGAATAAACACAAATGCGCCTGAGCTAGCGTCTGCAATAAAGATTGAGTAGCCACCCTAGTAGACGGCTATCCTCGAATAAGAGAGGCCAGCTATACTATTGTTCTTCTGTAATCTCGTATCATTGTGATATTACACCCTTATGATCTCCAAACTATATATCGTAAAGCATACCTTTACCCTAAGAGTATAAAAGGTATCTGTAGTTGAAAGTATAAAATTGCGTGCGGGATATTTAGATTTCGGCATTAAATAACTCATTGCGCTGATGATCTCAAATATAATACACCCTTGTGCAAATTAATTTAAACAACCACTTTAGTTTCTTTTCTTTCACCATACGGTTAGTTTTAGACCCACTGGAGTGACAGGGTGTAATCGATTTCTATTTTTTCCTCAGACTAGGTCATTTACAGTGGTGTCGAGTAATATGAATCTATTTTCAGGGTAGATGATGGAATTTGTTTGACCTTGAAAAATATTGCGTTATCCGTGATTGCATCAGACTTTCATCACGTCCTGACACTATTGTCTCGACTGTCAATTAGTTGTCCTACGGCCATTCTCTTTGACTGACGTTACTGCAAGAAAGCGTACGAATACAATGGCAAGCCTTATTGAAAAAATCAAAGAACTATCGACTGGCTCGGAAACTCTCCTGATTTAAATCCAATCGAGAATATCTCCAAGGAACGACTTTATAGAATGGACATCCGAAGTACTAATATGTGCAATGGGTCATGTTTAATCGGAAAAATACGAAAACAAAGTAAATCATAATGGAATTATTCGTTTAGTTTCAATTAATTTCCCCAAGATTGTATGTTGGACAATATCATATTATGTTACGTTTTCTTTGCGTTATTCACTGCCTTGTTGCATGCTGTATTGTGATATATTGTTTTGTGCTGTGAATATGAAGCTCAAAGCTTCTAAAACGCGTGCACTTCAGAAGGATCTGCTTGTTAACTTCAAAGGAACCACTGCCAAATATCTACTCACTTTTAACTACTTTCTTTCATTATATAGAAACACATCCATTTATTCGCACATACCTATGTAAACATTTAATTTGAACTGAACTGAACCTCAAGCAAGGAAATAAAGCCACGAAGATGTAAAGGTTCACTGAGTGTGAAAGAATAGGAGAAAAAGAACAATACTATTAAGGAGAGAGAATATTAAAAGAAGACAGAAGATAACGATAGATATTATATTTAAATTTTTGAAGATCAAAGTTGACTGGAAAGCGATGAGCCGGAAAAGGTTTCCACAAGCAAGAAGTGTGATAGGAGAAACTGTTAGCATAGAACTTACGGTTACATCGAGCACTTTCAATGGTAAAAGGATGAGATCTTTTTTTCCAATCTAGTACTGCACTTAAATTAAAAAAATAATGTCTAGGTACCATTGAGAGGTGGTCACCGAACAATTGTACTAAAGCCGATCCGCCAGATCAGGACCAATAATATTGCTGATTCTTCTTTGGATTTTATCAAATATGTCTAAATGTACAGCATGCGTACCGAACAATATGTGGCACCAATATTCAAATCATGGGTGAATGGTAGACACATAAATAGACATAAAATATGTATGTTAGATTCTAAAAAAAATTGTGCTTTATTTTTCAACAGTCAACAGATTGTGGCCGTTTTCGTCGTTGATATTATTGAAAATTGGCTCCCATTATATATATATATATATATATATATATATATGTATTATATTTATATATATATTATAGTTCCTTTCATATTGTCTGATAAGCTTAATAACATTATCATTGAAAGACAAAAGGAAATCACCATATTGATACATGTTTAAATCCAGTCTAAGCTTTCAGCTTACATAAGCCATTATCAAAGATGACAATTACTTTTCAATATATCAACCAATGCACGACAAACAATAATGATAGTCTGTTTTTGTTGCATGAAAAATTTCAAAGCAACGACTAACTCGTGTATACGAGACGCGCAAGCGAAAATCGCGTCGCAGCCCGTGACGTCACACATAATCACGCGAGAGTGTAAAAGAGTATTAAGTATAGGAAGCCGTTGGTATAAACCAATGGCTTCTGTTATCAATTATAGGCTTTTAAGAATGTTTGTGAAGATTTCATAGTTTATTTTGTTCAGGTTAGGTTTCAACTGTTTTATGTATATAGCTTCAAGAATTTTAATTTTTGTTTATTGTTTTCGTGTTTAAGTATAGTTGTGTTTTAAACGAGGATTTTCCGGAATTATGTACGCGGCCAGGCAAGTTGTTTGAAATGCCTAAATATTATTATATATTTATATATATATATTATATTATTATATACACACACACACACACACACACACACACACACACACACACACACATATATATATATATATATATATATATATATATATATATATATATATATTCCATTGAATACGAAGATAAGGAGCTTTGATTTAGTATTTTATACAATTTATCATGCGATCTTATTTTTTTCTCTTTTCAAATGATAAATACTGTCGGAATG